CTTAATGTGTTTACTGCTGTTTAATGATAAATTAAGATGAGTAATTTTTGCACACTTTGTTTCTAACCTTTGATCTGCGTTCCCACCTGCATAACGTAGTCAATGGCAATAGGCTCCGAGGACCTGTGACGTGCTATTTTTCGATCTGCAAACCAAGTAAAACAGTGTTGCCCTTGTGCATTGCGTATTCAGGGATGTTTGCTCTGTAAATACAATTAGTTGTTTCACTGACAGATTAACAAAAGATCATAAAACAACAAACTTACAAACAGGGCCACGGAGGAAACAAAACACCACTGTTTGTGCTTTTGTGCTGGCCAGACACATGTGGGAAGATTAAAACTGTTTAATAAATTTACACTGACAGTGGAGCAGATGGGAGCTTGTGACTTTTTTTTTTTTTTTTAAACTTTTTTTGTTTTTCTTGCTGTGCAGAAGTTGAGAATGCCAAGTGGAAACTTTAAGGAGGACAGGCTTACAACATCAGCATCAACCACCCCAAGTGGCACCCCTTCTGTTACTCCCAACATCACCCCCTGCGTTACTCCCAACATCACCCCCTGCGTTAGTCCCTACTCTTCACCGAGTGTTCATCGCAGGTAGGTAACAGTTTTAATCACTGACCGCAAGTAACAATGAACTCAAAAGAAAATACACACCTAAATGTCATTTGACAGAAGGTTGTTATTATTATTACAAAGCGTACATTTTAAAAAAAACATCATAAATCTGACCCTTATCAAATTAAGTCGATGGACTGGCTCAGATATATATTTAAAGCCTGTGCTACAAGGCAGGATTTCATCTTATTTAGGCAACTACAGAGTTAATCCTGGGTTTTCTTCCAAATGCAGATCACCATAGTAACTTATGCTGTGAACGTGACCTACTCTGGGGCAGATTATCATGAAAATTAGAGACCTAGTTTTTTAATAGCTTACAATGACTGTCTTTACCCTGATTAGCATCATTAAGAAGTATATGTTAAATGTTAACATCTACTTTGTATGAATTATGGGCTGGATTTTAGTTTTCATACATGCATGAGCAATT